TAAATAAGATCAAGATAGAAGAAATAATCGAAAAATTAAACTTGCATAAAAGTCGAATAAGAGGTTCGAATCACCACATAGGGTTCCAATAAAATCCTAGAATAAAAACTTAGCTACTCATGTTCGTAACGAAAAGCATAATAAAAATACGGAAATTCATAAAAATCAGAAAAGAAAAGGAAAAGGGAAACTAGGATGAAGATTCGTCAAGTCTTCGTCTTCGTTCTCTTGCTCCTCGATTGCGTGTAGAAAAGATAAAAACTCCAAATAAAAATAAAAGGTAAAAGATCCAAGATGGGTCTAATTGTGTGCTTGTGGCCTTTAAATAGGGTGCAAAAATATAATAGGGCGGGTTTCCTTGTGTAATTAAACTTCCTTCACTGCGCCCCTACGCCCATCCGGACGGCCGTGTGAGATTAAGATCTAAAACCCGCACGACCGCGCGGCCTTCTGTTCTTCAGAATTCTGATTATTTCACTTTTGGCCCACTTTTTCTCTGAATTTGCAGTTTTCACCCCAAAAGTTGTCAATTCTTCAATTTGCACCTAAAATACAAATAATAACCATATTAAGCACCAATTATCGTAAAAACACATCAAAAGCTCCAATTAAAAGGTACAATTAAGTGTATAAATATACACTTAACAAAGACCCAACATCGGGATGTGGAACCGATGATCTGGCTTCAGCAGCTCTCTCAGCCTCTCGCCTACGTCGTGTAGACATAGTCATGCGCTCGCGCTCTTGATGTTCAGCCTCTTCACGAACTGCTCGCATAATTGCCTTTGATTTCCCTTTGCCTGCCATCTTTTAAATAAAACACTATTAACGTCAGTCTAAATAATGAAAAAAATAAATAAAAATAATTACAAGTCGGGAAAATAAAATTCCAGTTTCTAGTTAGAAAAAACTTTGGTTAAAAAATAAGTTGAATAACATATAAAATATTGAGAAATAAAAAAAATGCTTCCCTCGGCATTTTCAATGTCTAGTGGTCATTTGGCTGGTTTTGTCCATTTCACTACTATAGGGGGGGAGGTGTCCAAGGAGGGTGCTAGGCCAAGGTGCTAGCAACTTTGCCCAAGGTGCTAAAATAAAACAAATCATAAAAAAAATAAAAAATGAATGCAGTTATTTCGTGGACAAACACACGAAATTAATGCTTACATTTCGTGTTTGTGTTCACGAAATACAAGCACTAATTTTGTGTGGTTTTCCACGAAATAATAGTAAAACTGCCAAAACACATATGTTTCGTGCAAAATCATATGAAACAAAAGCTTACATTTCGTGAGATTTCTCACGAAATGTAAGCTTTTGTTTCGTATGATTTTGCACGAAACGTAAGAAACACAAACAATTAAGTTAATTTCGTGGAAAAAATCACGAAATTAGCCCTTTAATTTCGTGAGTTCTTACACGAAACGCAATTTTTTTTTCGAAAAGTTTCGATTTTTTTCAAAATACTGAAAACGTATAGATTTTCGACGAAATTTGTTAATATACTACTATAAAACATTGGGTTAACGATTTCGAGTTCGAATTTTACCTTAAATCGTTGTTGAATTGCTCGTTTAATCCGCAGGAATTCGAAGAACCTTAGATAGGGTTTGAGAGGATGTTGAATTTTTGGAAGAAAAGTTACAAATGAAATAAAGTCGCACTGCAAGCCGATAAAAGTTGTTCTATGAATAGCATTTCAGCATAGATAAAGAATGAGTGTAAGAAACACACTTTGGAATTTTGATCGGCTATTTTTTTAGGGTAATTGCAAAAAAACATATGGCAAGAGCATTTAATTAAAAAAGAAACATTTTACTTGATCCAGACCAGAAAGAGGCTGAAGGGTAAAAAGCCCACTTACTAAAGAGATTGGCCCTTTAAAGTCCATTCAAAGTACAGCCCAAGGTCGGTGGCCACATAGAAAGTTTTTCCTCGGCAACATCGCAGTTTTCCGAGCGATGCAAGACGTTCGGAAGAAAACTATGACGACCAAGTGCGGTGCATTAATGACCATGACAAGTACGGAAGGAAGCAATGATGGTCTCGCCGGGCTCGTCTGTTAGACGAGTCCGCGTATTAAATTTGCTCACACTAGCATTAATGGTGGAATGACTACCTGATAGGAGGCGGTAGGGTGACCACGTTCGATTAGGTGAGAATGATCTTCCATACTACTGGGAGCCGACTGAAAGCTGATATGGGATGGTAGTGGGTGCGGCGGCAGGTATATGCTCGCCCCGGTTTCCGGAAATGCTGAAAAGCCGACTGAATAAGTACTATAAATAGGTATAATTCCTCACCAGAAGAAGGTAAGGTTTTTCGGATAAAGATCACACATACATCACAATCCATCCTCACATACACTTTTATCTCTACAAACTTAGTCGTCGGAGTGCTAACTCCGATATCTGTGCAGGTGTTCTTTGCTTAACAATCAGGAAAGTTCCAGAAGCTTGCATGTATGAAGCCCATTACAATGTTCCAAAAGCCCATCCAGTAGAAGTGTCGTAGGGAACAAATCATTATTTTTCTTTGTTGCATGCTGCACAAACACTTCTTAAAGGTGAAGAGTCCCCGTATCCGATACCTGGACACTCGGACATGCCCGGGCACGGCTCGAACACCCATGTCGGACAGTGTCGTAATTTCCCTAAAAGTAAGACATCTGTGTCGGACAGTGTCTGCAATTTTAAAAAAGTTGGGATATGACTCTTATGTTTTAAGAGAATGCCCTAATAAAAAATACGCATTTTCTTTTATCTGTAACAAATATTTCCTCTTTCTTCTATGAGAGTCCACTTGAAAGTCCAAAACTCTAGCGACAACGGCGATCAAGATCACTGGCAACAATGGCGAGCGGTTCTCTTTGCGATTTGGCGACTTATAAATATATTTTTACAATTTATAAATGTACCCCTGTATTTTTATAATTTTAAAAATATACCCTGTATTTTTTATATCTATGCGTATCCTCGCGTGTCCGTATCCTAGATTTTTGGAATACCGTATCACCGTGTCCGTATCCGCGTATCGCCGCATCCGCGTATCCGTGTCCCTACAGCATAGGTTGCAACTATATCCATATATCCAAACTTCATTTGCAATTAAGGAAAACTTTATTATATTTACCAAAATTACCCCCAACTCATTAAAATCGTAATTCACACTCAATTTCATAATTCAAACCCTAATTTAGTCAGTCACCGCCAGTGATCGCTGGTCAGCCGCCATTGATCGCCTGTCTCCGCCATTGATTTTTTTTTTGGTCTTTAACTCTTTTCAGTAGTATTACAGTCTTAGCCGACAATATTAATGTCTCAAATAGTAATTTTACTTTCTGAGAAAGTAATATTACTATCTCAGACTGCAATATTAGTGTCTCATACAATAATTTAACTCATGTTTTAGATAATAATGCTGCACTCATACAGTAATATTTTTGTTTTACTGTCTCAGACAATAATTTTACTGTCTCAGTGCAATATTACTGTCTCAGATAGTAATATTACCGTCTCAGGTAATTTTACTATCTGAGACAGTAATATCATTGTGTTTGTTGTAAAAAAAAATTGAAAAATAAAAGTTAAAAATATTTAATATTATTGTGTAAGACAGTAAGATTACTGTGGGTTTAGCGGTCGGAAAAAAAGGCAAAATTCATTAAAAAAAAATCAATGCCGGAAACCGATCGAAAAAAAAATCAACGCCGGAAAACGACCGGAAAAAAAAATTGGGAAAAAAGATTCAAAAAAAAGAAAGTCAACATCAGTTTGTGGCCGAAAAAAAAGTTAAGAGAAAAAAATTTCAAAATATTGTGAAAATTGGGTTAATGTGATATATTTGTTAAAATCTTGAATTAAGATGTAATATTTGTTAAGTTGGGACATTATGGAAGAAATTGATATAAATTATATTGCAAAGGAGTATAAATTATATTGCAAAGGAGTATTTTAGACAAAAGATAATCGAATGATTTATTTTGTAAGATTTATGGTCTAAATAGGAGCGCAAATAAATACTTCCTCCTTAACAATTAATGCTAATCATGAGAAATCCATATTATTAAGAGAGGATGACAAAAAGTGTAAATTTTTTGTTTTTGAGAGGAAAAAAAAATATGAAAATCGACATTCAAGTTAAAAAATGACATAGAAACATAATTTAATGTGTTCTTTTTTCATATAAATTACCATTTTGTTTTCTTCGCTACTCCATTATGTAAGTTGTTTAAGGTTTTGATTTCTTTGAAGTTTTTTTAAGAGTTTGTAAAGAAGAGGGATAAAGGTGTTGGTGAATAAGGAGAGAGTTTTGTGTGAGTAATCTTAAACAAAGATTTAATTTTTATTTGTTATTTTTTCTGTTTGTGAGATACTGATTTTTATTAAGAATATTAATGGTATTATTGGATTCATTACCTATTTTGTGTTGTAGTGTATTAACGTGGAAGGAATTGGTTTTTATTTTAGCCACCCATTTGATAAAGAACGTTAAATAAATGATTAGTTATGATCCATGTTTTGAAAATCGAATCGGACCCGTAATTGGGTCACGGTTCGACCAGGTCTTTGATTAATTATTATTCATAAATACTTAAATTGTTATAAATTAAATATAAATAATCATATATACTAAAACAAACACAGCACTTTAATTTATAAAATTTTGCTAAAATAAATAATTAAACTATATTAATTAGTTCACCACTGTTCTAGAGTCATATAATATTATTTTTCTAATAACCCCACCGACTCTCTCTCTCTCTCTTATTTGGGCAACAAAATCAAGATAAGAATAAAATAATGATTAATCCTCAAATTGAGATCCTACACCGGGTGAAATACACCGGGTAGATCTTTACCATTCATATACACACAAACACACCCACACCCACATTGGTATGTGTAGATCAACGGTAAAAAATCACCCGGTGTAACCTTCACCGGGTGTAGGATAGATAAAACGAAAATGGAAGACCCACTTCCCCTCCCCTCTTCATTTGTTTTTGGCATTTAACCCGGGTTTCTGGCTCTGCCGGGGTTTTGCACTGAGTCGGACCGGATCAGGCTCCGGTTCCCGATCCAACCGGTCCGGTTTTCAAAACATTAGTTAGGATAGGTGTTAGGACTAGTAGTACCGTCGACTGGCGAGATTTCTGAAGCGAGTGTTCTTGGTTAACTCCGCCAAACATCACCTTAATTTATTAATGCATGCAAGAACAACACTTGTTTTCCACCACTACACCGCCATTAATCAGCTAATTCGATTCAATCCAATCGCCAAATTCTCCCCTCTCTCTACAGCCATGGCTTCTTCGATCGTACTTCCGTCGATCTCTCTCGCCACCAAATCCCTCAGAAGCTCCAGCTGTTTGGGTTACAAAAATGAGATTCGAATGGCTCCCCGGTTGAATTTGGAGAAATCTAGGGTTTTCATGAGCGTCGCCGTCGGATCGGAGGCGGTTGTTGTCGACGATGCGTTGTTCAAGGACTACACCCCTTCTTCCGCTTTCCTCTTTCCCGGTCAGGTCAGATTCTGATTTTCTTTTTTTTTTCTTTAATTGGTTGTTAATTTAGTACAGATACGCTCAATGAAGCTGATTGGATTGCTGGTGATGTTTTACAGCTTTGTGTTGCTGTTTAAATTGCAGATTATTGCTTAATTTTTGCACAATTGTTTGTTCATTTTAGGGCGAATTTAAGCCCAATGTTGCTCATTGAATTGCCGAAGATTGATTGTTTTATCCATTCATGATTTTGCTGATTCAGTTGCCTGTTTTTGTGGAGGAAAATCAGTTTCGTAATTGCTGGATTTGCTTCGTGTAGTTTGTTCCTTAACTTCACTTCATTTGCCAAATTAGTTCTATTCAAGGTTTTAATACTTCCGAGTTCATGAATTTCGTAATTCGACTATCTTGAGTTATAATGTTGTATTAAATTGGTTTTAACTTTTAACATTGGAACATAAGAAAAGAATTTCTGTTTAGTTATTGGTTATTATGTTTATGGCATCTCTTGATAATTCGATTTAAATGTATCTATACTTCACTTTCTGAAGGGTGCACAAACTGTTGGAATGGGTGTGGAAGCTCAAAAAGTACCTGCTGCAGCTGAATTGTACAAGAGAGCCAATGATATCTTGGGGTAGATTCAACACTATACTATAAGATTTGCTCGTTTTAAGCTGACTTTTAATTGGCTACATGAATGTGCTTATGTAAACTTCGATTGTTCTTTATATTTCATTCCCCAGCGGAAGTTGTGGAAATGTATCTCGTTTTAAAATTATATATTAAGTGAACTTTCAAGATTGTGCAACTTTTGTTAGTCTTCAGTAAAATTTGGTTCTTTAACTTATTCTTGATTGATTACCTTTACCCTCCGTCTTTTCATGGCAATGTCGAAATATAGGAGAGTTAGGTGAATAGTATATAGTTAACATTTCCTAAAAGCATATCGTGAAATATGTACAGTGAGGTTTCATGAAAATATGAGGACGTCGATTGAGATATTCATGCTAATGAGACTGTGTCATGTTAAATGGTTGTATCTGCATTTAGTGTGATTTTCCCCTAATTTTTCCATTTGAATTAGTTTCATGATTATTTTTATTTTTTTTATTTGTATCGTCATTAAATATCCAATGTCTGCATTCTGTTTTATGACTCCAGGTTCGACCTTTTGGATATTTGTGTTAATGGACCAAAAGAGAAGCTTGATTCCACTGTTCTAAGCCAGGTATGCTACTGTATGAGTTGTAATGTTTGCTTACTGCATAATTTTTTTTTTATATTATGCGTAAACAACACAAATAAATTATCATCATTAAGGCCTAACAGTAACTGGCATAATTTCCTACCACTTATAAATTATGGAAATATGATTCGTCTTGCCTTCAATTTAGTATTAGGCTTACAGTAACTAAGAAGCAAAAAATGGTGCCCTAAAATTGTGGTTTTTTAAGTCATAGCAGAAATGTTGGAGGATATCTAATTGATTACTAAATGCATCGAAACAAAAATCATATTGCAGAATTATTTCATTCTGAAATACCATCCATGATTGTGTGTGTGAGGGAAGAAACATTATGCGATCAATAGGCACATATTTGCAATAATAGATTGCTGATTTTGGCACAAAGTGTTAACCACATTCTTATTATATGTTTGCCGAGCCAAGGACTTGCATTCTACTAAAAAAGGGGAATTGTTGACTTATATATACTCTGAATTCGTTTTCCAGCCAGCTATCTATGTTACAAGTTTAGCTGCAGTTGAGGTGCTCCGAGCTCGTGATGGAGGCCAGCAAATAATTGATTCTGTCGACGTAACTTGTGGTTTAAGTTTAGGAGAATATACTGCCCTTGCATTTGCTGAAGCTTTCAGGTGAACTTTCAACTTAGTCGTAGTTTTTTGTTTACACTATTTCTTTCAGTCCATTTTCTGATAGTTTATGATATCATTTTGTTCTGTCTGATAATATCTATATATATTTTTTCCCATCATGCAGCTTTGAGGATGGGCTGAAGCTAGTCAAGTTAAGGGGTGAAGCGATGCAGGTACCATCCACGATTTTCTAACTTGTAGATATGCAAAGTTATTATCATATAATTCCTTGTAAAATTCTTGTAAAATTGAAATAACGCTTCTGCTAAATATCACTAGGATGCTGCTAATGCTGCCAAAAGTGCGATGGTTAGTATTATTGGACTTGATTCTGCTAAAGTCCAACTGCTTTGTGATGCCGCCAATGAAGAAGTAGATGAAGCTAATAAAGTTCAAATTGCAAATTTCTTGTGCACGGTAAGTTTATTTATTTCTAATCCGACATCAGGACTTAAACATTTTTTTTCTGTACAATAATTTAGCGAGCACTTTTATTAATTAAACCATTTGCATCACGTTCTTGTAGGGAAACTATGCTGTGTCTGGGGGGCTTAAAGGAATAGAAGCAGTTGAAGCAAAGGCAAAATCATTTAAGGCTCGAATGACAGTAAGTCCTATTATTTTGTCTCTTGCGCAATTTTCTGCTCTCAACAAATTTTTGTGCTTCGACTTTTAAGAGCATAATGTTTACTTAGGTTCGGCTAGCTGTAGCTGGTGCTTTCCACACTGGTTTTATGGAGCCCGCTGTGTCAAGACTAGAAGCTGTTTTGGCGTCAACTGTAATCAGACCGCCGAGAATTCCAGTTATATCCAACGTTGATGCACAACCACATGCAGATCCAGATACTATCAAGAAAATACTAGCTCGCCAGGTAATCACTGGCTTGCGCTTGGTCCACTAAGGCCTTGTTTGGTTTCAAGATATGATTAGCCACGATAAGTTAAAGGATGGTCTAATAACACAGTTCACCCAATAAGCCACGATAGTTGCAGACCGGTCAAAAAAGTTATCGCACTAACCAAACTATCCTATAAGACCTAATTCATGTATTTAAGCGTGAGACGAAACGAGGCCTAAATAAAGTCGGACTGTTTTTTTAATCTTAAATGACTCATGTTAATCTGCAATTTCAGGTGACTTCTCCAGTTCAATGGGAGACAACGGTGAAGACTTTGTTAAGCAAAGGGTTGAAGAAGAGCTACGAATTAGGACCTGGAAAGGTAGAAAAATGAATTTCTATGTTTTAAAGACCGAATATTTTATTTCTTCAATACTCACTCAGCCTGTTTTGTTCTTGATGTTTTAGGTCATAGCCGGGATCGTCAAACGGATGGATAAAAGTGCTGAAATTGAGAATATTGGTGCCTGAGCACCATCTTCAGAGTTGCTAATTTAATAGCATTTTGTCCATTGCTTGTTTTGGCAAAATCTTTCGTCTTAGGCAAACTGCTTCTGATAGAGCCAATAGGAGCTTCGTTTATCGTTGTTTATTACAGGGTTATGTCGTTAAAAAACTAAGCAGATGTATCTGAAGTTTCAATTTTGAGCACCAAATATGTAATGACTAAATCGAAAGGAGTAATAAAATGCAATTGTAGCCGTTATTTTGGAGATTTGAGTACGTAAGCTCGACATTCTGGCATTGTTACGATCACCGAATCTGGCCATGGAATTCAATTAAGTTATTTTGGTGTTTATTCTTGTAAATTAAAAAAATCTTTATAACATTCAAATATTGTAATCCAAATAATTTCAGTTCAACATGGTTTAGTATTGCTCCTCTCTTAAAAAATAAAAATAAAAACAACGCAATTCGTTCATCATTCAATTCAACAACATACCCATTTCATAAATAAATACAATAAAAGCAACAAGAAATCCAATTAGCAAATCGCAACAAATTTTGGGGGAATTTGAAATACAGAAGCAATTAGACATTTCATCATACAACTGATGGGCATGGAAAATTTTCAACAATACTTATGGATCAGTTGCTGCAGATGATGATGATGATGGCCTCCTCAATCTCATGAGGCGATCGATCCACTGGTCATCGGGAACCTGACCAGCCCAGTCGGGGGCAGCAGCGCCGCCTCCGCCGCCGCTGCCGCTGCCGCCAAAAGAGATCCCGCGCATGGCGTCCATCACTCTGACGGCGTTCTCCTCCGTCAGTGGAGCGGAGCGCCGCCTCTCGTCTTCTCTGAATGCCCTCTCTATCGCGCTCTCCGATTCAGTCGCCTCCTCCTCTTCGTCTTCTTCTTCGTCGGTCAGATCGAGTGACGATAGTCCGTTCTCCACCCAGCCATTCGGGAGGCGATCGGAAGCATTTGTTTCTTCATCGTCTTCTCCGTCGGCGGTAGATATTGGCTGGTAGTATTCCGATGAATCGTCGGAATTCGATTCGGAATCGCTTTCGTAGGCACCGTTATGCGCCTCAGAAGCTGCCGCTGCATTCATTTTTTCTTTTCGCAGCCAAAATCCCTTCAAACCCAATTCCGTATTTCCCCTTCGGCATTTCTTTTATATTTATAATAATTATGAAATGTTATTTGCGGTCACAAAA